GCAAACAATATAATAAAAAATGCATAATTACCCTAAAGTAAATAAAACCCACGTATAATCCATTAATTAAGAATGAAGTTTCCTCCGAGAGACATCATCTTCTCCAGACACTTCCCATAGACCTCACAAACAGACCAGGGATCAGCGTATGAATCAAACATACAAATTTTATTGTAGTAACTTACATATAAAACCGATAAAAACAGCTTCCAGATCATAAAGGCTGTATATACAGCGATTTTTTTCTTGTTTGTTTGTTCAATTTTTATATTTTATATATTATTTTTACCAAATTTGTGTTTTATTAAAGATGTGGGTTTGGGTTGTGATATAATGCCTGTTGGTGGAGTAGGGTGCTAGTCCTAACCATATGGCTTTATATAGGTGTTCTTCCAAGCTCTAAAATGGTCGCTGTTGGTATGCTTCTATCCCCATTTGTATCCAAGTAGTGTCTTAAGGGTAGGGGATTTTACATCTATATCTGTACTATATGGTACGATGGCTTGGGTGGGCACTTTGCCAGTTTGCCATATGGTAATCTTTTGGTACTTCATTCTTAAATCATGGATTATTTGTGGGTTTTATTTACTGTAGGGTAATTATGCATTTTTATTATATTGTTTGCTGTGGTTTAAACGGTTTTTAGGTAATTCCTCACTATTGCTGTGGCACTGGAGTGTTTGCATGCTGCACGTGTGGCACTGTTTTTGAAACCTAAGATAATACACTATGTCTAGGTTTTTTCTTTTGAGGTATATGAAGAGTTTTTGTGGATTCATCACCAATTATCTGGAACAGTGTGTATCTATTGATCAAGATTGAGGACTTTATGTGTATATTTTTCCAAATTTTGGACTTTTTTTGGACTTTCTTTGGACTTTGGGTGTATTTATTTAAGTCTGTTTGTATAATTTTTTTTTTTATGTTGGTACTTCAGGGGAAGGATTGTGAAACAACTTAATTGGGATTTATATTAAGGTGGGTTGTGTGCTGTCTCATTTTTATTTAGTGTAACAAATATATGTGGCATCACAGATATGGACTTTCAGGGATTGCCTAAAGGTGAATAGAGTAGAAGATCAGACAGATTGGGGTTCCAGAGGATGGTAGAGGTTCTGGAGGTGAGCATGGGAGGAGGTGATAAGGGAAATAGAGAGCAGGAGGTTTTGGGAGGAGGGACAGTTTGGTTGGTATTTTGAGACAAGGTTAGTGATGTAGCTGGGGACAGAGTTGTGGATGGCTTTGTAGGTTGTTAGCATTATACATTGGATGAGCGAAAGCCAATGGAGGAATTGATAGATAGGGGTAGCATACACTAAAGTTTGATAAGGTGGATGAGTCTGGCAGTAGCATCCACAGTGGAATGATGGGGGAAGAGCCTATCTAAAGGTAGGCCAAGGGAGTAGAAGGGAGGCGAGAGATAACCTGGGAGGGAGTTAATAGCTTTGTGGTGTCGTTGATTAAGAAGGAGCTATTTTGGAGATGTTACAGAGTTTGAGGCGGCAAGATTTGGACAGTGATTGGATGTGGGGCCAAAAGGAGAATTCAGGTCCAGGATTACTCCTAACACCCTGGCATGCATGGAAGCCAGGGTGAAGGGACAGGAGGAAATATTGTGAACTCAGTTTTAGATCAATTTTGTGGAAGTGGCGTGATATCCATGCTGATATCTTGCTGATACTTTGGAGGGATTCCTCTTACATTTTGTTTTGGCTGTGGTGTAGGTAGTGAAGAGAAACTCCCCAATGGGACACAGATGGTAAAAAAAAGAAGTTAACAAGGGTTATAACTCCCCCTACATTTCATCTAAAATGAAAATAAGTTTTGCCTTTTGTTTTACCTTGTTTTTTATCACCATTTACCACCATTAAAGGCCCAATTTGTCCAGAAAAAAAGTAAGGTATATTTCACTAGGTGGGGCCTCCAGATGTTGTGTACTTTTAAAGGGTAACAGAAAAAAGGATACTGTGCAGTATGGAGAATGTATGTAAGTCATAGGATTCACTGTACAGAATTAAAAAATCTGTTAGCAATTTAAATAGATTATTACAAATATACACTCACTGGCCACTTTATGAGGTGCACCTGTTCAATTGCTTTGTAACAGAAATTGCTGATCAGCCAATCACATGGCAGTAACTCAATGCTTTTAGGCATCTAGACATAGTGAAGACAACTTGCTGCAGTTTTAACTGAGTATCAGAATGGGAAAGAAAGAGGATTTAAGTGACTTTGAATGTGGCATGGTTGTTGGTGTCAGACGGGTTGTTCTGAGTATTTCAAAAACTGCAGATCTACTGGAATTTTCATTCACAACCATCTCTAGGGCTAACACAGAATGGTCCGAAAATGAGAAAATATCCAGTGAGCGGACGTTGTGTGGATGAAGATGCCTTGTTGATGTCAGAGGTCAAAAGAGAATGGGCAGACTGCTTGATGCGACATTCAGATGATAGGGTCAGAATTTGGCGTAAACAACATGAAAGCCTGGATCCATCCTGCCTTGTATCAACGTTTCAGGCTGGTGGTGTAATGATGTGGGGGATATTTCCTTGGCACTAGCAAGGTGTACCTTATAACGTTGCCGGTGAGTGTATTTATAGACATGAATGGTAATATTGTATTTGGCTGTTTGCCTGAATTATCAAATTAAACTTGCATAGAACAAAACTTTTGCCATTTTGGAATGCATGTAAGAGCACAGTAAAAGCTTCAGTGGGAGTCATACAAGACACAGGCAGAACAACAGAAAAATATGTGTGAGAAGGATTAAACAAGATAAAGCTCTTTGAAGGTCTAATCTCTTGAAGTGAAGCCAAATGATGAAAATAAATTGCTCAGCTAGCTAACTTCAGACCAACTAATAAATTCACTCATATGTTTAATGCCATGAATAACAAAGGACATTTAGAAATGGCAACAGGGAATTTGGAAATGTCAGGAATGCTCATCTATAGGTCACATAGGTTTTCATACTTTAAAAAAGTCTTGAGCTATAATAAAACAACCACTAATTACAATTAAAGTGTATGCAAGCCTTAAAAATGTTTTTCTCATTTACTCTATTTTCTTAAGTTACATATGCCATTACGTGTGTTTTATTATATCTAATTGACAAGTAAAGATTATCTGTTGATCCTGCCAGAAATCTTTTGAGTTAATAACTTCCTGTGAAGTCTGTCTCTGCCATTACCAGTTAGCACTGATCTCAGTTCTGTCTATGGACTGCAGAATTCCTTCCGACATGTTATGGAGACGGGGTGTGCAGTCCTAACGCACTTCCTGTTCTAGGGTAACAGCGCTGCTCATCCACATATACAGTACAATGAATGAGCTAGAACAGGAAGTGTATTAATGGAAGGATTGCCTGGAAAGAAAGAAGAAAAAACCTAAAAAAAAAACACAAATGCAGATACCACATCTAAGAAACAGTAAGCTGTAATATAGTACATTTGTGTTCATGGATCAATACGACATCAAAATAAAAATTTAGCCTTAACATTTAAACTTGTTGGGAACCTGGTGGGTTCAGACCAGGTCAGATTGATACCCATATTGTATGAATATGCAATGATTATTCACCAATTTACAATACAATTTACAATATCTCCATCCACATACTGAGGGCCATGCCATTGTGTCTGTGGACACCCACAAGGCCTTTCAATAGTGTTGAGTGGCCTTACCTTCCTTTTATCCTGTGCAAATTGTCATTTCGGCCCTATGTTTCTTGCCTAGGTGAAACTTCTATATGCTACCCCTCAGGCGAGAAACTGGGTCAATACTACTCTCTCTAAACCATTTTTGATTGCTCAAGGCACTATACAGGGTTTCCCCCCTGTCACCCACATTATTTGCTTTAGCAGCGGCTTGCATTATTACTCCCCATCTCTGTCACTATTAAAGGCCTCAGGATAAACTCCTTGGAGGAACATACATCTCTTTATGTGGACTACACCCTAATATACTTAGAGGATGCCAGTCTCTCCCTTTCCCACCTTTTAACACTGTTGAAGGATTTTTTGAGGTTCTCAGGCTTCAATGTCCATTGGGAGTTCTTGTTGTTTCCATTAGATCTGGAAACCATTGCTAATATACTGTAGATCCTAGTTCTCACCTAAACGTAGTGAACCAATTTAAATGTCTTTGTATTATTGTACAGATTCCAATTCCTAGATATGTTGACATCATTCTCCTACCTTCTATTGTGTTTTTTAGAGACAAAGTCAAATTATGGATGTCCCTGCCCCTGGATCTCATGTACAGGGTTAGTTTATTTAAAATGCATTTTTTTCCTAAATCTCTATATACTTGAGAATTCCTCTGCTATTCCCCCTGCTATTCCTTGTAAATACTTCAAACAAACAGATGCTATCCACTTTTCGTTCATATAGAAATCTTAGAATCTCCCTCGTAACGTTTCAATTACTGGTGGGACAAGTGGGACAGGCGGGACTGGCATTTCACAATTTCTATCTATACTATCTCACAGCCAATTGATTCCAATACACAGTTGGCTCAGGCCCAACCAGGGTAATGTCTGTATGGCGACTGAGATAGCCATTATTTTGTTATGATAAAGGAGGAGTTCAGGATCCCACGACACCACTTTCTCTTTTATGTTCAGCTGCGAAATGTGTTCCATGCTCAAATACAGTTACACTTACAGTTACACTCCCTCACAGTTACACTCCATAAAATACCACTGAAGATCCTACTATCACCCAATGAAACCAAATTGATTTCTCTTTATTACTCAGAACTTCTTAGTAATAAATTAGCTTCCCCCTCCCAATCTATGTCTAAATGGCATGAGATGATACCTCAGTTATCGGAGACAGATTGGGAAGATGTGGAGTCAACCTATATATCCACAGTTATATCTTACAAGGATAGGCTTATACAGCCTATGTTGTATCATCAAACCTTTTATACAGCTCACTGTTGATAAAAACTTAAAAACTTAGAAACGTAAAGTGTTACTAAACCCAGGACCCTGCATTCACTATATCTGGTCTCCCACAGTAATTATAACATGGAAATGCAATTATGTTAGTAAATATAAACTGCTAAATACCTTTCTCACCATCAGTTAGAACAGTCTTGTAACTTCTATCAGTGTCCAGCAGGGCTCTGGTTAGAGCTTGTAGGATGAGTTTTCTTTCTGCTCTAGGAGGATGCAAAACCCCTGACCTCTGTCTAGACAGTGCTGATTGGCCCTGTGCTGATCACATGCACTCTCCCAAGAAAAAAAAAACATCCTTTCTAACAATACCCATCAAACTGAGCATGCGCAGAGTGTCTCCACACGATATGTCTTATCAGGAGATAAGAGGGAGACACTGGAAGAAGGGGAGGATCAGAGAAGTCAGGATCAAACAGCATTTTTAAACAATGCAGAGGATTAACCCCTTAGGTTGCACAGTGAGAAAAATAAATATGATTTACTGCATATACAGACTGATTTTACTGTTGTGGGTTTAGTAACACTTTAATCTCAGACAAACTCTGCTCTGTTTTCGCCTTTGTGGCCTAGAAGCGGACTTTTATCATGTCCTTTGGCTATGCCCTTGATACAGTTGTTGTCGTCACAAGTATGTGTGGTTCCTGAATTAGCTTTAGTTCTCCCAAATGTCCAATGTCCCAAGATTTGTCTGTTGGGGTTTGTAGAGGATCTACCAGTGAGCCCCCATGTCAAGACACTTCTACGTATATTATATTTCTATTTAAATAGATTATTCTGGTCACCTGGAAGAAACCCCTTCTGCCAACCCTTACAGAATGGAAGAATTTGATTAATGGGATCTTACCATTATATCAACTTACCTACACTATCAGGGGCTCTCCTAAACAATTTTATAAAATATGGGTCACTGAACTAGTTTCCTTCTGACTGATCCACCAGGATTCCTTGACTATATGTGTGTACCCAGAATCACTGCTACTGAAATGTGTAGGTTTTAAAATGGATTATTATAGTTAACTTCACAAGATGGAGCTTCATTAAACTTAGAGCTTCTAATTTTTTCAATCATAGAGCACTGAATGTTGGGAGATGTAGTTTGGGCCAGGTGCCAACACTGTTACAGGCAAAATAAACTGGCAGGAGAAGCCATTTAAAAAGAAAAGCCTGTGAAAGAGTGGGGGCATTTGGGAGATGGTCACCGATGTGTGAAGAAGGGAAGGTCCTGTTGTGGTTTAGAGGAGAGAGCTAAGCAGCATGGTTAGAGACTGAGTGTTACACCAGTAGTGGAATCGTCAGCTCCGGAGAGTGGGGCAATCCACTGTATACTGCTGTACTGAGATAGAGGCAGTGTGCTACTGACTACTGTGGTTGAGTTCTGCACTGAGGCCTACCGCAAGGTCAAGGTAGGTACAGAGGACCTGGTATAGCCAGTGGCTTCTTTGGGGGTAGCGCTACATGCAGGAAGGTTTTCGGTGTGTAATAACTATGCAATATATATTACATAGGACACAGACTCAGTTGCTGGTAATCTGGCTTTATTGTAACTGTCATGGTGTTGCTACAAAAAGAATAATAAAAAGCTTATTTAAAACAAATGTTCATGGGTTTTACTTTTGAAACCCAGGACATTGTTGGGGATGTAATTCACTCATTTTGGGACACCACTGAAAGATAAAATGGCAGCACACAACGGGCACTGCAACAAAAAGTGGACTAGTCATAACATATGATTCAGTATATAAGTAGTAGAAATCTTAATATAAGTGCTACAATATAAATAAAACAGGCTTAGAAGCTGTCAGTTGTGGCTAGAACCTGTTGGGAGTGTTGATATTTATTGTTTTTGATGATGGATCTACATCGATGGACAACATGATTAATGAGGAATTTACATTGTCTGTGTGTTTTGTTTTTTTTTAAATAAAGGATTTTATGTGCGTGTTCTTATTTAAAGTTTATAAAGTTTTTTTATAAAGTGCTCCCTAAGCCTGGAAAATTATTTCAAGGGTTTTTGTCTGGTTAAAAATTATGAATTTACATTGTGTGTGTTTTTTTTTTACATAAAGGATTTTATGTGCATGTTCTTATTTAAAGTTTAGAAAGTTTTTTATATAAAGTGCTCCTTAAACCTGGAATATACTTTCAAGGGTTTTTGTCTGGTTAAAAATGATGAATTTACATTGTGTGTGTGTTTTTTTTTTTTTTAAATAAAGGATTTTATGTGCAGTATGTGTTTGTATTTAAAGTTTAGAAAGTTTTTTTTTATAAAGTGTTCCCTAAGCCTGGAAAATCATTTCAAGGGTCCTTGTCTGGTTAAAAGGTTTTTAATTGCTAGTAAGCAAAAAGGGTTCCAGCTTGTAGTGAAATTAGATTACTTTTCTTGTAAATTCAGATATCTGTACATCAAACTCTTGATGGACGCAAACTGTGTGGGTAAGTTTCCTGTAAGAGGATCCTATAAAGAAGTTCAGAAAAAAAATGTAGTGCTATCGAGCTGTGTCATTAAGAATAATAAATCCGAGCAGCAGGCGAGGCATACGTCATAGAGTTGTATGCACAGACGTGAAAATCCAGGCTTAGAACACTGAAAGAATGTTGTACAGCCGTCTATGTTTGATGACACATGTAACCTCAGCAAACCCTTTTCAAACATCACATTAATTCGTTAAGAATTGTCATGTGCCTCAATCATAGGATAAAACAGGAAATGCAAAATAAGTCACTGCACCCCATGAGTCATCCGTATCTATCCAAAACTTCTATAATGAAATGAAATTAAATAGTGTAGAATTCATTTCTCACAAAATGTAATTTTGATATCTTACCCTTCCCTCTCTCCAGGCAAAGTTTCAGCAAATATTCAAGTTAAACTTGCTCAAGCAGTTGTTGCTTATATCTATTGATCTATTCATGACCAATGTATTTATTGCTTATTAAAGTATATCTATACCCATATAACCAAAAATCTAATATATTGCAGCTTATCAGTCCATAGATGTGTTGACTATATTAGTTTTCTTTTTTTTCAGGCTAAACATATTTTCTGCAAGTAAAAAAATGTGGTGTCTTTATAACTTCATGCGCCCTGAACTGAAATCTCAAACAATGTTATTAGCCTTCCCAGCTATCTTCTTTGAACTACAAAACAACTTCTCTCTTCTGTAATGGAAATGAGGACAGGAGGATGTGTGTGTAGTCTGAATTAAGAAAGCAGCCTAAGGATAACAGTGCTGCTTCTCCATTACATGCTTGAAAAACAAAAACTAATGCAGCTATATCTATTGACTGGTAAACTGGAATGTATAACATCTTTGTTCTCGGATTAGATTTTAAAGGTCACGATTACACAGTTCAAAAAAGACACATGCGATCTGCAGCAGATGTCAGTGTTAACTTAATGACATGTCAAATGCAGTGCATTTGCCTGCACCAGATTACATTTTACAGTAGTACCATCCAATCTGGTTTCTGTGCATTTTTTTAAGTAGTGCATGCACTACTTTTCGTGCAGTCCTGCACAATTTCAGCCCATTCAAATGAATTCCTGTGTGATTCATGGTGTGTACTTCCAGTATAATAGCATGCTCTAGTGCAGGGGTCTTTAAAGTGTATGTAAACCCTAGTAGAAGAAATGGTGCCCTTGTGTCATTGAAAGTTGCATGGCGCTCTTCTGTCAGTGGAACAAATGGCGCTCCTTTGTCTGTGGAAGGAATGGTGCCCCTGTGTCAGTGGAAATAATGGTAACCCTGTGTTAATGGAAAGAATGGTGCCCTTGCATCACAAGACTGAATGGTGTCCCTGTGTCAGCTGAAGGCAATGGTGCCCCTCTGTCAGTGAAAGGAATCGTGCCCCTGTGTCAATGAAAGAAGTGATGCCTCTGTGTCAGGAGTAGGAATTGTTCCCCTATGTAAGTGAAAATATGGGTGCCCTTCTGTCAGTGGAAGGAATGCTGCCCCTGTGTCTGTGGAAGGAATGGTACCCATGTGTCAGTAGAAAGAATGGTGACCCTGTGTCTGTGGAAGGAATGATGCCCCCATGTCAGTGGATGAAATGGTGCTCTTGTGTCAGTGGAAGGAATGGTGCTCTTGTGTCAGAGGAAGGAATGGTGCCCATGTGTCAGTGAAAGGAATGGTGCTCTTGTGTCAGTGGAAGGAATGGTACCCATGTGTCAGTGGAAGGAATAGTGCTCTCGTGTCAGTAGAAGGAATGGTGCTCTTGTGTCAGGGGCAGGAATGGTACTCCTGTATCAGTGGAAGGAATGGTGCCCATGTGTCAGTGGAAGGAATGGTACCTATGTGTCAGAGGAAGGAATGGTACTCTTGTGTCAGTGGAAGGAATGGTGCCCCCATGGCAGGGATGGAATGGTGCCCCAGTGTCAGTGGAAGGAATGGTGCCCATGTGTCAGTGGAAGGAATAGTGCTCTCGTGTCAGTAGAAGGAATGGTGCTCTTGTGTCAGTGGAAGGAATGGTACTCCTGTATCAGTGGAAGGAATGGTGCCCATGTGTCAGTGGAAGGAATGGTACTATGTGTCAGAGGAAGGAATGGTACTCTTGTGTCGTGGAAGGAATGGTGCCCCCATGGCAGGGATGGAATGGTGCCCCAGTGTCAGTGGAAGGAATGGTGCCCATGTGTCAGTGGAAGGAATGTGCCCCTGTGTCAGGGGATGGAATGGTGCCCCTGTGTCAGGGGATGGAATGGTGCCCATGTGTCAGTGGAAGGAATGGTACTTTTGTGTCAGTGGAAGGAATGGTGCTCTTGTGTCAGTAGAAGGAATGGTGCTCTTGTGTCAGTAGAAGGAATGGTGCTCTTGTGTCAGGGGAAGGAATAGTACTTCTGTATCAGTGGAAGGAATGGTGCCCATGTGTCAGTGGAAGGAATGGTGCCCCCATGGCAGGGGATGGAATGGTGCCCCAGTGTCAATGGAAGCAATGGTGTCCATGTGTCAGTGAAATGAATGGTGCTCTTGTGTCAGTGGAAGAAATGGTACTCTTGTGTCAGCGGAAGGAGTGGTGCCCCGTGGCAGGGATGAAATGGTGCCCCAGTGTCAGTTGAAGAAATGGTGCCCATGTATCAGTGGAAGGAATGGTGCTCATGTGTCAGTAGAAGGAATGGTGCCCATGTGTCAGTGGAAGGAATGGTGCCCCTGTGTCAGGGGATGGAATGGTGCCCATGTGTCAGTGGAAGGAATGGTACTTTTTTGTCAGTGGAAGGAGTGGTGCCCCTGTGTCAGTGGAAGGAATGGTGCCCCCCCCCCCCCCCCCGTGGCAGGGGAAGGAATGGTGCCCCCCCGTGTGTCAGGGGACGGAATGGTGCCCATGTTTCAGAGGAAGGAATGGAACCTTTGTGTCAGTGGAAGGAATGGTGCCCCTGTGTCAGGGGAAAGAATGGCGCCCCCGTGGCAGGGGAAGGAATGGTGCCCCTGTGTCAGGGGATGGAATGGTGCCCATGTGTCAGTGGAAGGAATGGTACTTTTTTATCAATGGAAGGAATGGTGTCCCTGTGTCAGGGGAAGGAATA